TTAAACTGGTACACAATTGTGTACCAGTTTAATGTTCAATATTATTTATGATTTTAAAACAGATATCATTTTGTTTCTTTATTTCACACACACACACATATATATGTATATATGTCAGTGTTGTATTATAGAACAGTGTGTCCGAGACCTTATAATGAATTACACAATGAAAAATAACGCAAGAATAAAAATCACATGTGTCAAACAAGCTTTATTAAGATCTTAACCACAAATATTTTACAAGTTAACCCCACAGTTTGTTTTAACATCTCCTCCTATGAAAAGAAAACAATGAAAAAATAATGAATGAATAAACAAAAATCAAAAAGATCAGCAAATAAAATAAAAACTGTTTTTGTTTTTCAAGAGTTTATGGTGTCAGTGAATTATTTATAATCTACCATATTTGCCTGAATATAATGTGCACCCAATTTTGAAAGAAAATTTGAAAAACATTTTTTTTTTACACATTAGTTGCACAAAAAAAATTGAATAGTTTCTAAACACAGTAAAAAACTATCGATGTATTAAACATTTTTTGAAATCTTTCATTGAGATTTTGTTTACATGCAAGTTTTACAAAATTTATGGAAAAGTTTATACATGGTAATACACTAAGGTTCATAACCCTTTATTCTCCTGAAGAAGAATAGTAAACTATTCATAAACACCCGAGTTTTAGGTCTCATTTGAAAACCATTACAACTTTTGTACGTGATCCTGTGTGCTAATCTCTGAATCAGAATTTATATTCCACTCATGGACCACGGACCCCGGTTTACTGAAGGTAAGTTACCTCTTCTTTCACCTTACATTGCCATTTTTGGAGACTCTGTTATTAAATTCCTCCATTAACACATTTCTTACGTTAAAGATCAACATATTTTAATGAAATCAATCAGTGGAGCCACCTTACTTGATTTCTTGAACACTAACTTTAGTGCCAAAGTCTGTAAAATACTTAATACTTTACGTCAAAACTAACGACATAGAATGATGGCTTATTACTGTTTTAACGACCTACAATCCTTACAAGTACATATTTTGACTCACTGTACTCACCTTTGTGTTTGTTTCTCTAGCATCATCTACTGTGATGTTAAGAGAAATACTGATTCACCTCTATAACAACGTGCCTGTACTACTGACTCTTTAAACCAAAATATTAACAAATTTAATGCCCTCACACATGCCTCTGCCAATATAACTCACATTCATCCTTCCTTTACAACACCAACTTTAAACTTGAGAACAAGACACATTTCTTAACAAAGAATGGTTTACACCTTTCCTTCAAAGGATTCACTTCCCTACCCTGTAATTTATGATTCTTTATCGCTATCTATATTCTCCCTCACCTACAAACAACCACTGAACAATCCAACCTAGATCCACCAAACACTCCTAGTCATAAATATCCTTCAATCCACTCTATTTCCCATATCCAATCCAATAAAGCCCCCTCAATCCGTAGAGCATACCCCTGTACGCCACACTTCCAATACACTTCAAAACCCCATTTCAATCACTGCTTCTCCGAGAACTCGATGTGCCCATTCTTCTAAACATCGCAATTATGCAGAAGTTACAGCTTCCACTCCTGTTTCTAGCAACTTCTCCCTGTGCTCTTAACCTGACACACAACCCAAGAATCCCACCCCATTCACAAACTCTGATACTACTGTAGGTCACATTTCTACATTTACAAACCCCTTTTCTACCATTATTTCCCCTTTTCCTAAATGCAAGAGTTATGGAGATTCTAAGACTTTCATTTTTATTCCCAGCAACCATCTAGTAACCCCTTATTTTAACAACCTTCCAAACTCCACAACCTCTGAGGCTTTTGTTCTTCCATATGCAGAACTTCTGCAACCTTTGAAGGAAATCATCACCCTTCACCCAAAGACTTTTCACAAAGCCTTAAACTCAAGTAAATCTGGACAGCCTTACATGTATATCATTACCTTTGAGCTGAATAATATTGTACACGTGTACATTGAAAAAAGTTAACTCAGGATTACAAGACTTGGTAATACATATTGCTGTGGTTTAAATCCTTATTTCAAGATATTGAACAATGTTGCAACACTAGAATGCTTAATTGCTCTCTTTTTTTATGAAAGTCCTGGAGAGTGAAATGATACATATGAATAAGAAAGCTAAGATTCTTATATCAAAACACATATTGGCTTACGAAACTTGAATTATAAAAAATTGGCTTTTAAAAGTTGCTTGAATATATGCATATTTTCAATAAAAGTCACCAACTTTAATTTCTAAATACACATTTTTAGGGTTTACTTTTGTTTTGAAATTCTTAGTTTCTGGTATAATAGGCTATATGAGATTGTGAACTTTAATAAAACAGAGTATTTAACAATCTTTGATAATTATATTTATGCACAACAAATTTCAGATTTGATTTTATATTTAGACATTTCATTGCTTAACAAGACAATGAATTAAATAATCTAAACTGCTTATAGAAACTTCCCTTGACTGTATGTTTATTTTATAAAAATAAAATTCAAAGTTCCAATAGCTGTTTACTATTTGAAATTCAAATAAAATAAGAAATAAATTATAATTTAATGTATACATTCGGTGCTATTGCCTCCTAGATCACTTGTTAAAGTTTTTCCTACAATTACATGTAGCAAAGTCATAGCCTTTGTTTCTGAATATATTTCTGTCAATCAAATTCTGTACCTAATTTTCAAAGTACACACACACAAATACATGAATATATATGTAAACAATTATTCACATCTCACATCTAACAATTTTGGTTTATAAATTCCTTTAATACATTTAACATACAAAGATTTATACTTGATTTATAGTAATGTTATCATAGTTATATATTTTTCATGAAAGTGAAATGATTTTGGTTTATTTTAAATATTTTTTATATTTCCAAACCATGTAGTTCACTTTCTTTTACACAGGTTACCTTCTTATATTAACATGGATTTTTTTTTTTTAATTAGTCAGTTATTCTGGCATATGCAGGTTTCATATAACACATGGTCAAGAAAGGCATTAAGTTATTTTTGCTATAGTTACCTATTGTTGTGTGTCATTCCTTGAAGACAATACTTAGTTTGCCCTTTGGGAAAAATGGATATAAAGTTGCACCTTGTGTATGAAAGTAGATAGCTATATCTTTCAGTGGTAAGTCAGGTGATATGGTAGTTACAAACTACCATATTTTCAAATGGGAATGACCAGTCACAAGATTAGCATCAGTTGTTCTGGATAGGTTTGACATTACTATTAGAACTACATAATGTAAGGTTTAGTCAATATAGAACAGACCTTTGAGAAGCAGAAAACAGTTTTGATATTTGGTTCTAGCTCTTCCAGTATATGTAACTGTCCATCATCCAAAAGCAAGTACACACACTGCATTAATACACGCTGAATAAAGACTGTTCCTTGTATCTATGTACAATTGTATCCAGTCTCTCTATTACCTTTTCATGAAGTTAGTTACTCAGAATTACTTTGTGATAAATAACTTGGTCAAATCTGTTATTGCGAGGACATATCTAAGGAAGATAAACTTGACCTGAAACTTGATACTTTTAAACAACATGGCTGTATGTACATATACACACTCTACATGTGAAACTGTAAAACAACTTAAAACAAAAAAAACACTAAACTAAATTACTTTAGGGACAAACAAATAAAATTCTGTCTCACAAAATGTTAAATTTAATGAGGACGAATGTTGTTTTAACACATGTACAAGTTGTTAACAGTATGTGTGTGTTTTGTATACAAATTATAATGTCCAGCCTATTTTTTCCATATTGATGTATCTCTGAAAACAATGAAAAATCTTGTTGCTTTTTTCAGGATAAAAAATTTCTTTTACCTTAAATAATGAGTCTAATATAAAAAACATATTAGACAATTTGGGAATATTGTTTTATACAATACACACAACAAATCATTGTTTTACATCCAAAACAGTAGTACGTACTTAAATCCAAGTCATTCAGACATTTTGTACATGAATATGTATGTATTCAAATAAATAGAAACATAATTTCTCACGTGCACCTGTATTTAAGGAAAATTCTTAACACATATCCAAACTTAAATGTAAATTTATTTTACATATGCACATTCAAGCCTCAAAGTTATTAACTCAAGGGACTACAAGTTTTTATGTTAAAGTAATTTCCCATAACAGAACAAGTTCTGTCCTCCATTATTTGTCTAGTCTGATCCAGTTACTTTGTAATTATAGGTCAATGTTCTGTTCCAAACTGGTTTAGACACATGCAGAAAATTTAACAAAGGAATTCAAATATGTATAATGGTATTTTGTTCTTTACCTAAACATAGGCTTGCTAAACGTGTGTATATATTGTTGATGTGGCACTTATGTAGTAAGTACTTTACAAAAGTATACACATGTACAACAACATGGTTTTTATTTAAGTACTGTGTATTTTCATAACATACCTTACTGAGGACAGTTAAGTACAACAAGTTGAACAGAAATAAAAAAATCATAAATCTTGAAAACCGAATGAAAAATTAGTGTTCTATTTACCAACAATTCTTAAAAAACATTTCTGAAACAAACTTAAAACTATAGAAAAAAATTAAACTATTTTTTCTCAAAATTTTAATAAATGTACTGCATCATAATTCAGAACTTTCACTAAATTCAGCAATATTTGTTACTAATAATGAAGATATTTTGCATACATGTATAGGTTTCTAGTTGGTAAATAAAACTCAGCACTATAAAAAATTAACATTGACTTAAAAAATAAAAATATGAAAAACAGTTGAGAAAAACTTTAAAAAGAAAAAATACCTGAAACTTTTAACTTGTACATGTTACAGTGACACTAGACTAAAAATAATAATATAATAACATACAAATTACCAACACTCAAAATATTTCACACTTTATCTCAGCTCACATACTTTGTAATCTTACTTACTTATATATATATACCAAGTCAGTATTATTAAACCAGTCCTACTAATCATAAAAAGTTACAAAGTACAACAAATAAATATGTAACAGAGTCAAATATTTTTGGCCATAGCTACATAAACATTAGTGAAGTTATCTTTTCTTATTCTGATTCTAAAAAGTTTATGTACTGTAAAGTACTTCACTGCAAGGCAATAAAGTATATTTCCTCAAATTATATATATTTTGTGTCATATATTTAATGTTTATTTTGTAGTTACTTTGTGATAGTTAGTAGGGCCCTATTAAACTAAATATACAGATCACATCTAAACTGAAGACTATCCAGTAGAACAAATTAATTTGAAATAAAAGTATCATAAATCAATAGAACAGAAAAACAAAACTTATAATGATTACTTTGAACCAAATTATTATTTGGATATCTCACTGTTACTTAGTGTTAGTGATACTTCTTCTTGTAATACCAATAATAAACTTAAAACCATAAACTATGCCAACCATGCAAATTTAAATAATCTTCATATCTGTAATTCTAATTCAAAACATTATTTCAAACATTTTAACTAATAAACTTTCATGAAAACAATTGTAACGAGTAAGCTTTCCAATTACATTATTAACAAATACATCAGTTATTTGCTATTCAGATACATAGTTTACCAATACATGAAATAAGAACAGTTATAAATATCCACGCATATGCAATAGTGCACATCCATCAAAAACAAGTGTAAATTAATATAGGCAACTTTCCAAAGAAATATGTTCTAACCTTTATTACCAAATTAATGTTCCAGCTTTCTGTAAATTATAATAAGAGTACATCAATAATAGCAACAAAATGTCAATTCAAACATAAAGGACCAGTAATTTTTTTAGTACAATCGACTTTATATTAATATCTTCATGCAGTAACAATAAAAATATTAATATAAAGCCGATATGGTGTTATTAATTTAATATTTACTGAATACATATTCCTTAACTTCTTCAGCTACTGAATTGTCAGCATTATTATAAATAATACAAACCTTTTTGCCTAAAACCATACGAATTTGATGATAAACTACGTTACAAAGTGCCATTTTGAGATTGTTGTTAGAGGTTCGAACCGTTTCCTTACACGATGTTATCAGATAAGCTTACTGTTATTAAAGAGTAAAGAACTTATGATCAACCGGTTATCACTACGTTTACATACGAAAAGACCAGAAAACGATACGTTTATACTTAAAGTTCATACGAGCTCAGTACTTGGGAGCTGAACTAGTTTGTTATGGTCTGTTAGCTCCACGATCACGTGCTATAAAGTAAGGGACCGTTTTGTAATTTATATATATTTTCTTTTAATGCTTGGAGACGGCTTCAATGGGTAATGAAGAAAACCTTTAATATAAGTTCAACATAACTGCAAATGTACAACGTTTCCACAAGGTTTTGTCATCATCAGTGTTTCTTCATTACCCATTCAAGCCATCTCCAAGCATCATTAGTCTCAAAGTGGGTTCCTCGTCATCGAATATATTTTCTTTGTGTAACTGCCAAATAATTTATATTGTTAAGTATCTGCTTGTTTGTTAATTTCCGGTATAATTTTTTTCCTAGAAACTTCGGCGATTCAAGTTATTTCTTTATTAACCCAGTTTGTTCTTCCTCTATATAAACTTTTAATACACAGTAATTTCCACAGTCAGTACGTAACTCTAACTTAACAACTTTTATAACACACGCTATAAATCACAGTGATTCACACACATTACTTACCGTGCCTACTATTCGCTTGACTCAATTATCTTTCTATATCGCTGGCTTTCTTTGCCAGGCTTATATACTGTTACGACAGCGGAGGTCACGTGACGCTGGTAACACGTGGTAAATGTCTAGAACATTCATGAAGAGGCGAGGGTATTCTAGACGCCCTCTATTCTTGTATATAAGCGCGTCAAATAAAGCGAGATAATCAATTGGATGGCAGATAGACAGATATAGAGATAAATAACTGAGTCAAGCGAGCTGTAGGCACCATAAGTAAAATGCGTGAATCGTTGTGAATTATAGCGTATGTTTAAGTTAAAGTTACTGTGGAAATTCTGTGTATTGCAAAGTTGTATTGAGAAAGAATAAACGAATTTTAATTAAGAAAGGACTTGTATCACTGAAGTTTCTCGGAAAGAAATTTTACAGGAAATTAACAAACGACCAGAAACGTAACAAACTAGTGTCAGAAGTGGGATGGAAAAGAAAAAAAAATGGAAACGAGAAGTGGCAAATCAAACTTCAGCTTAGCAGATTTGATGGCAGCAATACAAGAACAGCAAAAGAAACAAGGAGAACGAGAAAATAAACAAGAAGAGAGATTACAGCAGTTGTTGGAGGAAAAGAAAGGAAACAAGAAGAGAGACAACAGCAGTGGCAAGAAAACCTGCAACAGGGGCAGCTCAAACAGCAAAATAAACAAGATAAGAGATTACAGCCGAGGCAACTAGAACAAGAAAGGAAACAGGAAGAAAGTCTCCAACAGTTACAGGAAAGTCAACAATATTAGTAAATTTCAAAGTGAATTAAATACATTAAAGGATGATTTACTGTCTTTTACACAAGGAGGATATATT